GTAATCGGGACATTTCAGACATTCATAAAAATACTAGCTTCCCTTGTTTCCTCTGTCCATAGCGTTCCTTGACAGCGTCGTTTCTAAGTCACCAATTTAGTGCTACTTGGTCCCAATGGAATTTCCCATTGGGAACCTGCTAGCACTAAGATGCTAACTGGTTAGCATGATGCTTCCCACAAACCAGCCACCATCAAATTTGCTTGCGAAGCTTCCGCCACAACAATCCCGCCCCCTTGATAATCGACCAATCACATTCACTTTATTCACTCGTATAAAGTCGGGCTCCACTCTGGAGAATTCGGAAATGAAACGATTGGAACAGCCGCTTCTCTACGACTTTAAAGAATGATCGGCACTTTTTCACAGAGAATTAAATATTTATATAGAGAGGATTCTACATTCCAGTTGACAGGATATGAGATTTATTTGTCTTTAGTTGGTTTAATTAGTCCGCATGCAGATCATTTTATTTTAATTTATTTTAACAGTACATGAGGAACTAATGAAATTATTTTCAGATAACAAATAATTCTGCTAGGGAAAGGAAGGACTTTAGGTTAGGATTAGGATTCACTCAATAACTACCTACTGAGCCTGCTGGCACAATCTGAAGCCATTCTAGCAGCTAATAGCGATCATGCTAACGGTATGCTGGCCTGACGCCGTATGCTGAGCTGACAGAACATCAGCAGCACAGAAAGTCTCACAGAACAACGTCCAGACGGTACCTGTGAGAAGGTTCTGTTATCAGAACGTAAACCTAATCTGACGCAGACGACCAAATCTACCAAAACACCCAATGCCACAAAGGTCACCAGGCTGGGATTCTGTGGCGGCCCGGTCGAGGTCCGAAGGCTCGGTACATGAGCAACCCGCCACGCCCCTTTTTGGATTATTTTCTAATGTATTTTATTTTTGCTGAGGGTGAAACACTGATTGGGTAACGGGTCGGTGCCGCTACAGAAGGTCATGAACCCAGGTGTTATTCCTACCAGCGGTTCAGGTTAGCTAGAACCCTTCCTGGGTACCGACACGAAGTATTCAGTGTTTGGACCGGGTTTCCTTCCTAACGATGGCGTCTGTGTTTCAGGTCTGACGGACTGGGAGGACGACGAGATCCTGGCCTCGGT